GACGCCGAGACTGGAGCCGCAGTCGGCGAGCTGCGCACCTCCAACGGTGCTGTAGTTGGCTCGCTTCCGAAGGCGCGCTCCTCATCCGCGTCGAGGAAGAACTCGACTGGGTAGGGCCAGGGGCGCCCGCCGTAACAGCATGCCGACGGAACTCGGCGCGGCGCCCCTAGCTCTGCGCTAGGCTGTGGACGGAGCCCCTGGTGCTGCAGGGGAGGGGGCGGCGCCAGGAGCGGCCTCTGCGGAGGGGGAGGCGGCCTCCTGCTGAGCATTAAGCTCGTCCTGGGCCGACTTGGCCTTGGCTCTGGCCGCAGCGCGCATGGCCTCGGCCCCAGCAGGAGCTCCTGCTGCCGCAGCGGCGCCTGCGGGCGCAGCCCCACCAGTTGCAGCAGCAGCAGCGGGGCCAGCAGCAGACCCAGCCGCATCGCTGCCGTCCACGCGCCTGCGCTTGGCCTCCTCCCTGGCGCGAAGCTTCCGAGCCTCCTCCCGAAGCTCCAGGATGCGCTGCGCCGAGGGTCCAAGGACTTCCTGGACCTTGGTCTGGACGCTGTCGGCCAGCTCCTGCTTGATGCGCTCCCAATCGACGCGCGCCTGCTCGTCGAGCTCCAGGCCCGAGAGGTCGAACAGCGGCCCGTCCACGATCTGCAGCGAGCCCTCATCGACGAGCGTCGACAGGTTGATCGCCGAAGAAGAGGGTGGCGGCGTTGAAGGCGGCGCCGCTTTGGCCTTGACCTGCTTGGCACAGGCCGCCTCCCAGTCCTGCTGCGCCGCATGAGCGCTGGCGGCCGCCTCGTCCTCGGCGGCCTGGGCGTCGGCCAGCCACTGCTTGCTCTCCAAGACGCGGGCCGAGCAGGTCTCAAGCCATGCCAGCGCCCTCCTGCAAGCCACACCTTTGGCCCGCACTTCCTCCTCAAGGAGTGGCGCCTTCTGAGGGGCGCCCGCGCCTGCAGCGGCTGCCTGAGCCTCCTTCTTGGCCTGCACCGCCGCCTTGAGCTTGAGCAGCTCGTCGCAGTCCGAGCCGAGCTCCTTCTCGAAGAACTCAAACGGGTCATCAGGCTGGGCGGGCTGCTGCTGCTGCTGCTGCTGTCCCGAGCGGCCGCCATGAGGCACCCAGCCCGCCTGCTGATAGACCCAAGGCCGACGCTGGACGGCCTGGGCCTTCGGCGCGGGCCGGGGCGGAGGCGGTCCCTTGGCGCCCTTGCCTCCTGCCTGAGCCCAGGGAGGAGCCGCAGGGGCGTCGGCAGCAGACTCTGCCTCAGGAGGAGGCGTTGCGCCTGCCTGCGGCGGGCCCCAGACCCACTGGCCGCGGGGCCGCTTGTCCTCCGAGGGGCCCGGTACCAGGGCGCCGCCGCACTGGTAACACCAGTGGTTGTTCTTGAAGTTCCAGCGGGATCTGCAGGACGTGCAGGTGATGTACGTCGTCTTGGCCCCTGCCGCTGGAGCCAAGCGACCACCGCCGAAGCCTTTCCTGCCACCGCCCTTCTTGCCGCCGCCTCCCATGGCCGCTGCGAGAGAGGCTGCTCCCCCAGTGAAGGGGGCAGGCGAGGGACTGGGGCGGACCAGCCCTCGCGAAGAGGATGTCGGGCGCAAGCACCCTGGCACTGCCGCGGACTAGCGGTATCCAGTTCTGCCAATGCGGGCTCAGCCCGCAAGGAAGGCATCTTGAGCCAAAATGGCTACGGAGGAGGAGGGGGAGGAGGAGGAGGAGGAGGAGGAGGAGGAGGAGGAGGAGAAGGAGGGGGAGGAGGAGGAGGGGGAGGGGGAGGAGGAGGGGGAGGAATAATAATGATCGTCATGAGAAGCATAACGATACTTTCACGAATGCGAAGCATGCTACGAACACGAGTTTCAACACTAAGACGAGTCCTACTATGTACAGTAATAAGGCGATTCGTAATACGACTCATACGAATACGTCGTATGATATATATATATATATGTATATTACACATATATATAGTTTAATACTATGGATACGAATAAGATCGCACTTTCGAATAACACTGCACATCACATATCAAGAGGACAAAATAATAAGACGAACACGAATACTACCAATCTTATTAATAATATCAATAGCAATAATCTTACCAAGACGGAGGAGGAGTAGGAGGAGGAGGAGCAGGAGGAGGATGATGAGGAGGAGGAGGAGCAGGAGAAGAAGGAGGAGGAGGAGGAAGATGAGGAGGAGGAGGAGGAGGAGGGCATTGAGGAGCAGGAGGAGAGGGAGGAGGTGAAGGAGGAGGAGGAGCAGGAGGAGGAGGAGGAGGAGGAGGAGGAGGAGGAGGAGGAGTAGGATGAGCAGAAGGAGGAGGAGAAGGAGGAGGAGGAGAAGGAGGAAGGGGAGAGTCGAGGATCGAGGATCCGTCGAAGAACAGTACCCCATCACTCGCACATGGGAGATCCAGCACCGGCTCCCGAAATCCGCGCGGACCCCGGACAATGTATGCGTGCGGGGTTCTTGACTCCCCCAGTCCATCATCAAGCTTCCTTGACGTCGATCACCCCCTTCGGGTGTCCAGGAGGCCTCTCGTCGCCACGGCTCGATTCCCTCCGAGACTCCGGCGAAAGCGCCGCCCTGGACATGTCGGGGAGCTGATCTCTGAGGAGGAGATGGAAGGCCGACGAGTACGGACAAGAACGATGAGAACAGGCGGAGGAGGAGGAGGGGGAGGAGGAGGAGGGGGAGGAGGACAAGCTAGATGCGCTCGCGTCATATCTGACATCCTACCCCTCCCTCCCATCCCTTACCATGGCGTAGATCCCCTCTCTACTCGCACAGTCGGATGTCGAGCAGGGCAATGATCCCGAAAGGGTACGTGATGCATTGTAGAGCACGGCATGGCATGGCGTAGAAGAGCACCGCAAAGCGTAGTATCAATCTAGCATTGCATTGAATGCCGTGGCATGGCACGGGAAATGACGCCAGCGCTGCAGCGGGAGCACGATTCGGAACGAGCGGAAGCGCGGAAATGAGGCCAGCGCTGCAGCGGGAGCACGATTCGGAACGAGCGGAAGCACGGAAATGAGGCCAGCGCTGCAGCGGGAGCACGATTCGGAACGAGCGGGGCCCGAAAATGAGGCCGGCGCCTCAGCGAGAGCAGCATTTTGAAAAAAATGCAGGCGAAAACCCAACTCCGGGGGAACCTGTGTGTAAAAACAATATGCGGGGAGGGTCGAGCACTTTCAAACCGTCATCAGGGGAAGAGGGAGAGTAGTATTCAGATTGAGCAACTGTGGAGGAGGAGGTGGAGGAGGAGGAGGAGGAGAAGGGGGAGTAGAAGGAGGAGGAGGAAGAGGAGGAGGAGGTGGAGCAGGAGGAGGAAGATGATGATGATGAGGAGGAGGAGGAGAAGGAGGAGGACCAGTGTAAACCCAAGAGTCATCAACGATGTTGGAATTAACCCTCCCTCCAAGCTCCCTCTTCATAGGCCCCTACAACGGTTCATTTCCATCGGGGGAGCTGCCTCGTTGGAAGACAACCGTTTGAAGATTCTGAAGCATGCCAAAACATTGTTCTCGGGATTTCAACGCCACGTGTCAACCTGACTGCTGCGTTTTGGCGATTAGGAATCGTGCTATAACGCCATGTTTTGGGTTTGCAGCACCGGGAATCAACATAACTGTTGCACCCGCATAATCCTGTATCCTTCCAACACACAGTATTGGTGCGTTGATCATGGGAATCCTGAACTGTTGCAATTTGTTGAAACAAATGTGCTTGGTGCTGAGGCGAGAGCCACATATTGAAAAGAAACCGCCCTCAACCCGTGAAGCTGTTGCAATTTGTTGCAAAGGCGTGAAGCTCTTGCATTTGTTTGCAAAGAATGTGCGCGGCGCTAGGGCGGCAGCCACATTTTCAAAACCACTCGCCCTCAATCCGAGAAGCTGTTGCAATCTGGTGCAAAGAATGTGCGCGGCGCTACGGCGAGAGCCACATTTTGACCCCCCCCGCCCTCAATCCGTGAAGCTCTTGCATTTTTACAAAGAAGGTGCGCGGCGCTAGTGCGATAGCCACATTTTGGAAACGACCTGCCCTCAATATGTGAAACTGTTGTCACTTTGTAAGCTTCAGAGTCATAAGTGGTGAGGAAGTGTCAGGCGAAACGCCCGGCCCGCCCTAAAAAATGGCCTCGGGGTGCGACAGGGAGGAGTTCTCTATACGTAGAAGGAATGGAGGAGGGGGAGGTGGAGGAGGAGGAGGAGGAGTAGGAGGAGGAGGGGGAGGAGGAGGAGCAGGAGGAGGAGGAGGAGAGAGGAGGAGGAGGAGGAGGAGGAGGTAGAGGGAGGAGAGGGGAGAGGAAGAGGAGGAGGAGGAGGAGGAGGAGGAGAAGGAGGACGAGGAGGGGGGGGAGGGGAAGGAGGAGGAGGAGGAGGAATAATAATAACAATATGATGATGATGATGATGATGATGATGATGATGATGATGATGATGATGATGATGATGATGCTGATGATGATGATGATGATGATGAGGATGAGGATGAGGATGAGGATGAGGATGATGCTGATGATGATGATGCTGATGATGATGCTGATGATAATGACGATGATGATGATGATGCTGATGGTGATGATGATGATGATGATGATGGTGGTGGTGATTCGGATGCTGATGATGATGACAATGATGAAACAATGCTGATGATGATGCTGATGATGATGCTGATGCTGATGCTGATGCTGCTGCTGCTGATGATGATGATGCGGATGATGGGGATGATGATTATGATGATGATGCTGATGATGATGCTGATGATGATGATGCTGATGCTGCTGCTGCTGCTGATGATGATGATGCTGATGCTGATGCTGATGATGATGCTGATGATGATGATGATGATGATGATGATGATGATGATGATGATGATGATGATGATGATGATGATGCGGGGGAGGAGGAGGAGGAGGCGGAGGAGGAGGCGGAGGAGGAGGAAGATGAGGGGTGCGGGGAGGAGGTCGGAAGGCACTAGTGGAGTGTACTGTGTTGTGGCCCTGTAGGACTGCTTTCAAGCTGCAGCTGTTCGCGTTACGAATACAAGATGACGGGCGCCATCTCGTCTTCGCCTTCGTCTCCTCGCTCGTCGCCGTCGTCGTCGTCGTCGTCGTCGTCGTCGTCGTCGTCGTCGTCGTCGTCCCTCCCTCGCCTCCCTCCCTCTGTTCCGGATTTGTCGGCTGGCGGGCTGAGTACTCGAGCACGTTGTAGTTGAGATACCAGCCCAGGCGCCGTCACCTTCGACGACCGTTTCACGTGCACGAAGGGTGGTAAGGCTGGTGGTCTCGATCTGGTGCTGAAGGGCAGAATTCCTGACGCTGGTACTCTGGCAAAGCAGGAAGAGAGCCCGCTTTACAGCTGGCTGCCGACAGCGCCGTACTGGGTGCTGGAAGTGGGCAAGGACTACGAATACGCCGTGGTTTACGCATGCGTCCCCGTCGTTGGCGAGTACATTTACGTGTTCCATCGCAACCCGCAGGCCTTGACCAACGGTCTGATCGACCTCGATGCGATCAAAACCCGCCTGACCGCGCAAGGAATCGATGCCTCACAGGTGAAGGTGGTGCCTCAGCCGGCCAATTGCTCCTACCCGGCCTCGGACACATTCGTGGCGAAGGCGATCGGTAGCGATCCGAACATCACCCTGGCAACTTTCGACGGAACTCCAGCGACGACTCACACGTGGCGGGAGATGAACGACCCTGTGATGGGCGGCAAGTCGGTGGGTACGACCTCGGTTGAAGGAGGCATGCTCGTTTTCGATGGGACGGTCGCCATTGTGCCCTCTCTGAGCGCGCCAGGTTTCATCACGTCTCAGGTTTCTGACGGCTTCTTCCACAGGGGGTTTCCCGACGTGTCGAGGTGCAAGGGTATCAGTCTGAATCTGAAGTCTGACACTGACTTCAAGGGCTATCGCTTCTGCTTCGGCATGAAGCATGCCAAAGGAGGCAAGTTCTTCGCGTACGGCTTCAAAGCGCACTTTGATGCTCCCGTCGGCGAGTTTGGCACTGTCGAAATCCCTTTCGATGAGTTCACGGACTTCTGGGACGACGCCACGGGCAACCCCATCAAAACCTGCAAGGAGAGCCCAGAAAACTGCCCCGACGCCGCGACGCTGCACAGCATGAGAACCATGGCGTTCTGGGGCGAGGGTGTGGAGGGCAAGGTCGGAGAACCAGCCCCAAGACGGCATAAACGCATACTCTTCGGTGGTCCCCGCGGACTTCTTGGATCGGCGCTGGACCCCCCTCCCTCCCCACACCCTCGACGGGGCCCTCAGGCGCCGCCCCCGGAAGTCTGCGCAGAGCTCTGCATGAGCTCGCGTGCGGGCCGCTCTCTGGCTGGCTCTCTGCAGGTGCACTTGGAGGTCAAGAGCGTCAGCGCCTACGGGTGCGCGGGCTCGGCCGACGTGGTCGTCTGAGCCGTCGGCCGCGTCGAGCTCGCTCGGGCGGGGCCGGTGCCGCTGGCGCCCGGCTGCCCCGCGTCGGAGGTGGTGCTCCTCGTGCGGCTCCGCGTCCGAGAGGTGCCTGGTCCAACGCCAGGGTCAGGTTGTCGAGTGCAAGCGCTGTCTGGGCCTGGCTCGCTTGGCGATCGGCCATGGCATGTGGGCGTCGTCACCTGCCAAGTGGTTGCAGCCGACAGCTTCTCTGTCTACAGGTCCATTTTTCCCCAGGCGATTTGCCTCGATAGCAGCGAGATCAGGAGTGATTGCGTTGGTCTGAACGCAGCTCAAAAACAGGTAAGTCATCAGGTGCATCCCTCCTGTTAGGTGTATGCAGGTAGATGAGCGGGTGCAGTTTCACCAGCGCATTCGGTGGTTCCCTCATCTCCCTCCTGCCCTTCGTGATCTTCATCCTCTTCCTTCCCTCATCCTCCAGGTCAACCGCAGGGGCGCGAGGATGACCTCGCTTCGACTGCCGCGACATGGCAAACGATAGTCGCGCGGCAATCACCGCCGAGCGCGAATCCCGAAGCTAGGTGTCCTAAATCCTCCGCCTTCGTCGAGGAAGAACACGGCGACTTGAATATAAAAATTTGACGGCCCGCGCGAAGCTCCAGAGGTTTACGTTTATGTAATTGTTTGTTCCTCTACCTTCCTCCACGCTCCATCCTCTGGGGGGAAAGATTCGGACGGGGCCAGGACGAGGCTAAATCCGTTCCAGAGCGTTCTGCAGTGCTCTCAGCGCGTTCCGGAACGCTCTGAGAAGGCCGCGGCGCCTCTTGGGGGCAACGTTAGGGATGGAATGGGCTCAGGGGGGGAATGTATATCGACCCCCAGTCGCCCATGCATTGCCGACAGCGGCCCGATAGGCCATCCCGCCCAGGAACGTGCGGATTCGCGGCTAATGCTCCCCCTCGATCTTGTACGGAGCCGTGCGCGCGCCCTAGAAGGACCTGGAGAAACCCAGCCCTTCGCGTGAAGAGATCACGACGGAAGGTCTCTGACTCTTTTCGGCCTCTGGGGGCCCATACTTGGCCCCAGGACTTTCAGAGCACGATTTGTGCCCGTTGAAGGAGGTCACCTGCCTCTGGATGGCCTCCCAGGAGATGGTGATGATCAGCTCATACACCGCACTTGCCCGCGAACGCCGCCTCGAGAATAGAGATTCCCAATGTGACAGCCGCCACTTGCATTTCGGCTCGCCGAGAAAGAGTCGGAGCCGCACTCAAGGTCACCCATCCAGTCTTGGATGTGACTCGAGGTTGAGCGCCCCAAAAATCAGAACACGATTTTTGGGGCACGCGTTTTGACGGAATCGCGACGTTGGAGATCTCGGCCGTCGATCATCGATCCTCCTCCTCGGGAGGAGGATGAGGAGAAGGAGAAGGAGGGCCGCGCCAGGACTCGACCACTGCATGCGGATCCTGAAGGGCGAGATCCTGCGCGTCACGTGGGCCGACGAGAAGCCCGTCGGCTGGGCGTACGCCCGGCGGCGTAGCCCTGCCGCCCGCCCCCTCGGGCGGGGTCAGGACGAGGATGAATCCGTTCCAGAGCGTTCCTCCTCCTCATCCTCCTCCTCCCTTATCGTCCTCCCCCTCCTCCTCCTTCTCCTCCTCCCCCCCCTCCTCCTCTCAGAGCAATCCGGAACGCTCTAAGCAGGGCGTGGCGCCCAAGGCACCCTCCAGAGCCGCTGGAGCTCAGAGATTCCTGGCCCAGCCTCGCCCGATTTCTCCTCGTCTTGGCTCCGTCTGAGCCGCCGATCGCCCCGCAATCGCCGCCGAGGTCGTCGTCGCCGCCGGCCCGCGGGGGAGCCTCGTCGGCCCTCGGCGGCCCTCGGCGGCATGCGCCCAAGAGCTTCCAAGACGGGCCAACGACGGCCGGAGGCGGACGGAGAGGCGGGAGACCGACCCTCCGTGGTCCCTCCTCCCTCGTCCTCGCTTCTGGAGCCGGACCCTTGTTCCGCCGAGGCCCTGTTCCGCCGAGGCCCTGTTCCGCCGAGGTCCTGTTCCGCCGAGGTCCTGTTCCGCCCGGTCCTGTTCCGCCCGGCCCGGTCCTGTTCCGCTGGTCCTGTTCCGCACGGCCCTATTCCGCCGTCGCGAGCTCTCAAGCGGGGGCGCTCTCGCCGCCCGACGCGGCGGAACTGGGCTTCGGCCTCGGCGGAACCGGTCCTCAGCAACCGGTCCTCGGCGGAACAGGTCCTCGGCGGAACCAGTCTTCGGCGGAACCGGCCTTCGGCGGAAACGGTCCTCGGCGAAACTGTTCCTAGGGTGTTCGGGTGCTCGTGTGTTCGGGAGTTAGGGCGTTACGGTGTTAGGGTGATAGGATGCTTTGGTGCAGAATTAGTAGCAGCATTGGGCCCGTACGCCGCCCGACCCGCCCGCCCGTTAGGGTCCGCCCGCCCGACCCGCCGTCCGCCCGTTAGGGTGACACGCGGGCTACCTCGATTACGCGTCATACGTTAATGTCCCGCCCGCTTGACCCGCCGCCCGCCCGCCCATTAGGGTCTCACCCGCCGCCCGACCCGCCCGCCCGTTAGGGTCCGCCCGCCCGACCCGCCGCCCGCCCGTTACGGTGCCACGCGTGCTACCTCGATTATTGGTCATACCGGAATGTCCCGCCCGCCCGACCCGCCGCCTGCCCGGCCCGCCCATTAGGGTCCCACCCGCCGCCCGACCCGCCCGCCTGTTAGGGTCCGCCCGCCCGACCCGCCGCCCGCCCGTTAAGGTGCCACGCGTGCTACCTCTGTTATTGGTCATACCGGAATGTCCCGCCCGCCCGACCCGCCGACCGCCCGCCCATTAGGGTCCAGCCCGCCGCCCGACCCGCCCGCCCGTTAGGGTCCGCCCGCCCGAGCCGCCGCCCGCCCATTAGGCTGACACGCGTGCCACCTCGATTGTGCGTCATACTTCAATGTCCCGCCCGCCCGACCTGCCGCCCGACCCGCCAATTAGGGTCCCGCCCGCCGCCCGACCCGCCCGCGCGTTTGGGTCCGCCCACCGTACCACCCGCCCGCGCGTTTGGGTCCGCCCGCCCGACCCGCCGCCCGCCCGTTAGAATGACACGCGTGCTACCTCGATGATGCGTCATGCTTTCATGTCCCGCCCGCCGAGCCCGCCGCCCGCCCGCCCATTGGGGCCCCCCCCGCCGCCCGACCCGTCCCGCCCGTTAGGGTACGTTGTTGTCACCGCCCGCCTGACCGACCCGCCGCCCGCCCGCCCGTGAGGGCCCCGCCCGCCGCACGGCCCGCGCGCCCGACCCGTGCTGCCCGTTAGGGCACGCGCGTGTTCAGATGAACACGCGTCACACATTAATGTCTTGCCCGCGCGACCGACCCGCCGCCCGCCCGCCCGTTCGGGTCCCGCCCGACGCCCGCCCCGCCCTCCCGTTAGGGTCCGCCCGCCCGACCCGCCCCGCCCGCTTGTGAGGGTCCGCCTGCCAGACCCATCCCGCCCGTTGGGGTACGCAATGAGGCGACGAGGAGGAAGCGGAGGAGGACGAGGACAAGGAGGAAGAGGAGGAGGAGGAGGAGGAGGGGCCTCTAATTCTCTCTCTCTCTCTCTCTCTCTTTCGCCCTCTTTCTTTCTTTCTTTCTTTCTTTCTTTCTTTCTTTCTTTCTCTCTCTCTCAACCAAACGACTTGGAACCGCTAGCACTCCTCCTCCTCCTGCTCCTCCTCCTCCTCCTCCGCCACCGCCTCCTACTGCTACTGCTGATGCTACTACCATTACTAAACGTATTCAAGCTACGACTATTTCTACTACTAATGCGATTACTACTACTGCTACGACGACGACGACGACTACTACTACTATTTCGCTTATCATAACTACTACTATTTCTACTACTAATGCGATTACTACTACTGCTACGACGACGACGACGACTACTACTACTATTTCGCTTATCATAACTACTACTATTACTGCTACTACGTGTACTACTAGTATAACTACTACTACTGTTCACTAGTACTCCGAACACTATACTATTACTACTACTACTACTACTGCTGCTGCTGCTACTACTACTACTACTACTACTACTACTACTACTACTACGACTACTACTACTACTACTACTACTACTACTACTACTACTACTACTACTACTACTACTACTAA